CAAAACTCCCTCCTCCTGATTGGCTCATATTCAACACATTTGTGACATTGGCTTATTTATAGCCCTGGGAAGATGGTTAGTGATAGATGCTGAAATGGGGTGACTGAAGGGTGCTAAATGTTGCTCCTTGATGCGAGTCATGCTCCTCCATTTGTAAGTGGGAAAATGTTGATACGTATCAAACATCCCTGACCTAGCAATCTATAATCTGAGATGCCCCAGCATCCAAAACCTTTTGAACACCAATGTGATATCATATGTGAAAAATCCCACACCATGCCCAAAGTTATTAAACTATTGGATAAGATTACCTTCAAGGTATGTGTATAAGGTGTTTATGAATAAGTGAATTTCAGGTTTAGACTTGGGTCCCCCAAGATACTCATTATGTATATGCAGCTATTCCAAAATCCAAAGAAAGCCTGCAACACCTTTGAGCCCAAGCACCTGGTCCCTGTACCTGTTTCACAGAATCATTGTGAACATTCAGTGTTGAGTACCTGGCATGCAGTCACTGGAGAGGGAAAGTTAACTATCGCTACTCTGGCTTTCTTTCTCTCTCTTCCATTGTTCTTGTTAATGTCTGGTCACCTGTCGGATGGCCCCAGAGCTTCCTGTGGGCATTTTCAGCCATGGTGTCTCATTTAAAGTTATCTTCTTATTCCCCGGCACCTGTCGGTACTGATGGCAGCACAGGCAGTCCTGTATGCTGCCTTCCTCATGCTGTCCCTTCCACCTGGCCTGTGATCCCCTCTCCCTTCAACTTCGTAATGTCTTCTTTAATTATCCCTAATGCCTTCCACATAGTAGGCACTTTATGCAGCTTTGTGGCTTTAATAAAACCCAGGCTGTGCAGCACAAGGACCTGGCACAGTGTGGTGGGTTGACTTAGGCTGACTGAAGTTTCTATTCAGGGCATGCAGTTTCCTGGTAGGCCTGGCATGTCAAGGGCCACAGTTTTCCTTACCATCTTGGTGCCACTGGACTTCTGGGTAAAACTGTCTGGCCAAGAGACACAGGCTTTCATTTTTTAAAAAGGAAACCCTTCCCAACTGGTGGAAAATAAGCTTTTGCTTAGTGACTAATAACATAAACACAGACAAGATTTCTGGGCTTATAAATAACCAGTTGTAAAAGTGCCCAAGGGAAGCAGCCCGTTTTGTGAGAAGAATGACCAGGAGTATCCCTACCACTTCTCCAATAGTGGGTTTAACCGTGGGCAAGGAGCCGCAGGCCTAGGGTGTGGAAGCTGGTCTTTCTTCACTGTAAATTCCCAAGACCTTATTCTTAGTTATTATGAATGCTGGACTGTTCTGAAAAAAATAATAGGTGATCGCTGGTCCCTTCCTGAGATTCTGTGGCAAGCATGCCATATCTTAAAGAGAGTTTGGCAGGGGAAGCCTTAGGGTTTTGTCTGGTTAGAGCTGCCAAGAGGGATTATGAGAACAGCACCTATTTATTGAGCACAGACTGAGGCATGGTACTGGCCATAGGGGAAGCTCACTGAACCCTGCTAATTTTTTTTTTTTTTTTTTGGACTTTTTGAGACAAGGTCTCCCTGTAGCCCCAACTGGCCTGGAACATTCTATGTAGCTCTCACAGATCTCACAGAGACCCACTATCCTCTGCCTCCCTCTCTAAGCATCAGGCAGTGCTTAGAGTGCATACACCACCATGCCGGCTGAACCCGGCCTCTCTTTATCAGCCTTGTTGCCTGATGAGGAGAGCCAGGTCAGGGGCATTGGTGTATGCTGATGGTCAGTAGAAGCTGAGGTTAGAATCTTCAGGCAGATTGCCCAGCCCTGTCGCATTCCTGCCCGTACTGTTTGTAACCATGGTGATTATTCTGAGCTTTGCTGTACCAGGTATCCCCATCGATAAAAAGAGAAGACTCGAAGGACCACAGGGCCTGGGCCTACACTACATGGTGCTGTTGTTAAAAAAGCCCTGGAGGCTTCAGTGCCAACTCTGATGAGTCATTAAGCTCTTCAGATGCAGAATACCAGTTGGCATTTAGCTCATCCAAGATGATACTCAGGGCTTGGCTGTGAACTTGAGATACCTCCTGCAGAGGATATGGATGGTGTCCCAGAGCCAGGCCTAGCCGTGATGAAAGTTCTGTGGTCCTGCTGTCTGCCGTGACAACTAGAGGGTGTTTTTATTACTTGGACATCGTCACTTGCATCCAGTGTTTTCTCTACTGAGTCCAGAACCCTACTTCTGGACATCAGTAGGAACACGAAAGTGTCCCAGTTCACCTGTAGAACCCTGATGGTCAAGGAACTAAGGGCAACAAAGCCCAGGTATGAGCATTTTCCTAACATTTCACCTGTTTAGTCATGGAACCCTTTTTTCCCAGGAGACTTTGCAGAGCCCATGCTCCAGGGAACATACCTGTGCAGCTGTTCCTCCATCCGCTCCTCATGCAGTCAGCAAGGGGATGACAGAGAAGGGTTGGAAGCCAATGGCGGCTGGGGGTGGGGTGAAACGGGTGGATTCATCCAGGGTGTATTTCAGAGGTCAGACCTACCAGCTGTACCCACAGAGGCTCTGTAGTGAAATATCACATTGGGCCGAATTGAAGTGAGTTGTGCTTGTCTCATGCCGCTAAGGCAGCCTTGGATAACGAGGAGCCAGTCTCCTGTCTGTGAGAGGCGTGCCTCTAGACCTTCCAGTGACAGTCTCTCCAGGGCTTGTGGCTTCAGCTCCTTTAAGGATACCCCACAGTCTAGAATGTGAGGTTCATATTTATTTTCATGTCAAATCACTTTCCTTCTTTCGACCTTCTCCCTCATTTTTAAAATTAGAAAACCCACTGCCTCCCCAGGGCACATCGCCCAGCCATTTTTGCAGCCTGAGCCACGCACGAGGCAGCCTCCCCACCTCCTAGTTTATAGTTAATGAAAAGTGCACACCAGGCTGAAATCCTGGCAGGAGCCGAGGTGGCTGGGTACAGCAAGGCCCGTAGACGCCAGTGCAGCCAGTTTTATCTGGCAGTCCCCTCTCTCCTCCTCCTGCCTCCCTACCTCCTTCCCCTTCATTTTATCAGAGAGGGTTGGCTGGACTGGAAGGAGCCAAAAAGGAACTGGGAGGAGAGTGAACTTCTAGCAGCCAGTGACAAGGTGTGGGAGGATGAGGGACCTGGGGCAGGTTCCAGTTCAACTCAGTTGCTCATTGAATGTGTGTATCTGTCTTGGTGCCAGGCCCTGAGGGTCCAATAATATTAAAATCAACAGTAACAGCCAGTGTTTTTGAATGCTGTAAGTATAGGCTTTTTGTTCTAAGCATTTAACATGCTGCTATCAATAAATTCTCCCAGCAGCTCTAAGAAGTGCTTTCTAACTTTATTCCTGTTTTACACTTGAAGCAGAAGCATGAAGAGAGGGGAAGGGGGTTAGCAATGTCCTGGAGTCATACGGCCAGCAAGAGACAGAAGCAGGAATCCTACCTAGGAATATCTAGCATCTTAACTAGTTTTAAGTTCTTTCAGCCTAAGCTCAGGGTCCAGGCAAAAGAAAACAGATATGAGACCAGGAAATAAATTGTTGGGGGACAACTTTGGGCCAGGATGTAAAAGGCAGAAGGTGTTAATGTGCAGATGAATTTGAGTACAGTCTTGGGGAGTTGGAGTTCCCTGGCAGGTAGGATAGGACAGGGAGAGGGGAGGCGGAGAGTGAAGAGCAGGGCAGTGGGAAACAACATCCGTCTATGTGACTGAGAAAATATAAGTGAATGCCAGTCCTGCATTGTTGAGTATTGGGACTGCTGGGAATTGGTAGATGCTGATGTGGTGGCGAGAAGTGGGCAGAGGGTGGGTCTAGGTACCCTCTGTGTCTTCCAGGAGGGATTCATTTCAAGATAGTTATTATTTAGTTTTGTCTTCACTCAAAGGCATCTTAAATGAAAGCACAAAGTATGTCCCTGGTGGTGGTGGAGTGGCTTTGACTGATGGTTCTGAGGACCTAGAATCTTCTCTCTTCCTTGGCTTTCTGTCTTCTGCCACTTTGTGTTGACCTCAGACACAAGGTTTGTGGAGTTTGATCAGCACTGCCGGTAGCATCAGAGTTGGGGAGAGAAGAGCATTGTGGGAAATGCTCTCTCTCGCAGGATGGAGGTTGGATGAGAGGAGAATGGGACTGAGGCAGGGACCCCTGCTCCATGGGACTGCAGCAGTACTGACACCACATCAGACTCTGGCTCTGTGGCTCCCCAGTTATGCTGGGAGGCAGAGCCAAGTTGTTCAGCCAGCTCTTTAAGAAGCTGCCTCCTTGAGAGTGGATCTGTGCTTGATCTTAGCAACCATGCTGCCTGGCTGCAGGCTCTGCAAATCTCAAGACCTCTGTAGGCCTCAGTTTCCTCCTTTTTCAGGTGGTAAAATTTCAAGCAGTCGTTGATAGTGTGTTAAGGGTAAAAACCGGGCCTCCCCTTCTACCTTTTTCAGGCAGTTTGTTGTTTGCTGCTGTCTGCTGTATAAGCCAGGCTCACTGACCCACAGAGCTCCCAGGGACTCTCCTGACTCTTATCTCGACTGCTTCCCAACGAATGCTGATATTATAGACACAAGCTTACTGTGTCCAGCTTTTCCATGATTTCTAGGGTTCTAAACTCAGTTCCTCACATTTGGACAGCAAGCACTTTACTGAGTGCTGAGTTGTCTCCTCAGCCCAATAGTTGTTTTGTTAATTCCCCACTATCCTCTCTGTAGAGAACTATGCCGACGGTGGAGCAGCGGGTGGGAAATGATCTTGGGAATGGGAATGGGGTCTGCAGAAAAGAACTATGTGTGTTTCCCTCAACTGTATAAGACAGGTCCAGGGCCAGGTGAGGCTACCATTGTCCTAAGTTCTCTTGAATGCACAGATTTGTGACCTGTCCCTTTTCCTCCCCACCCCAACTTGGCTCAGTGACATCTCTGAGGTCTCCTCCTCTCTCTCTGTAGTCATAAGCAAGCCTGCTGGATAAACAGGGTATTTGTTTCTTTCTCTCCCGGCCCCCCACAGTGTTCGAGAACAAAGATAAGATTGTGATCATCATGGAATACGCCAGCAAAGGAGAGCTGTATGACTACATCAGTGAGCGGAGACGCCTCAGCGAAAGGGAGACCAGGCATTTCTTCAGGCAGATTGTGTCTGCAGTGCACTATTGTCACAAGGTACAGCCAAGGCCTGGCCTGCAGCTTGGGCTATAGTGGGTTCTTCTTCTGTGATGTGATGCTCATCATTTTATAAAAGTGTCTGGTCATTGTGACATGCATGGAGAATTTATAGACTAGGAAGAGAAATCTCCCTTTTTTGAACCCCACGCTCTGTGTGTTTATGAGGGGGGGAGGTCTGTGTGGGTCTGTGTGGTGTGTCCAGGTGGGTTTACCTGTGCATGCATTTGTAGAGGCCAGAGGTCAAATGTCACCTGCCTTCCTCAGTCACTTTCTTATGTCACTTCCACCTTAGACTTTGAATGAGGGTCTCTCATTGAACCTGGAGTGTGCCATTCCCACTAGAACCACTGGCCAGTGAGCCCCCAGGATCTGCCTGTCTCTATCCCCCAGTGCCTGTCTCTATCCCCCAGGTTATTCCTGGATTTTATGTGGGCACTGGGGATCCAAACTCAAGTCCTCATATTTCCACAGTAAGCACTTTACCCACTGAACCATCTTCCCAGGCTCTAGACCCCACATTCTTAACCCATGTGAACAGTGTTTGACCTCTCTGTGGGTGGCAAAGGCACCCGCGATCTAGATCATACATTATTCTGTGTTTTATCTTCAGGTGTCAGTGGAAAGCACCACAGATGGAATTTCCATTATTTGAAGTGTGTGAACACGTGGATTGTATATGAATGGGACTTTCTGAGGCTCATTCCTTCTTCTTGTGAAAGCCAGGAATGTAACTATGTGAACCAAACTGTTTCCCGTGTTTAATTTAAAACCAAAGTCAGCTTCCCTGCTCTCTGTACCTCTCCTCCAAGAGACTTGTTTGTGCGCACTGCTGAATTCAGAACACCTTCCCCAGGGTTTGGATTAGCACAGGAGTGCTACAAAAACACATTGTTGTCCTCTTCCAGTCAGTGATTGTGAAGCTATTAGAAGCTGTCAAACAGAAAGGAAAATAAACAGCAAAGAACAACCATAAACAGGCCTGTAGGTTTGGGTTTGCAGCACCGCAGCACCCACTCCTTGTTATGTATCCTCACAGCCCCTGCTCTGCCCACCCACTCCTAAAATGATAACTTCCTCACAGGCCTGTTTCACGTGGAGTAGTGTCGGGCACCCACTCCTCGTTATGTATCCTCACAGCCCCTGCTCTGCCCACCCACTCCTAAAATGATAACTGAGTCTTCAAGACACTTGAGCAGGCCAGGTGCTACTGCCGGGTAGACCCCCCCCGCCCCCAGTCCATGGGTGCCCTCTTCCCCTTTAAGCTGGCTAGCTGCTCAGGTTGTTCAGTTTCCCACCCTTGCCAGACAGTTTGCCTGAATGAAAAGGTCACAGAGTATGACGGTCACCAGTGGCTCTGGTCTCATTGGCCTTCAACCACGCCTCACTTTTCACTCAGCCCTGAGTCCTGCTGAGTGGAGAGGAACTTTCAAGTCTTTCCAGCACGAGGGATGCAGACAGACAGACATGGCAGGCAGGCAGACATCAGGGAGGCAGACAGACAGACATGCAGGCAGGCTGGCCCTAGAGCTCCATGCTCTGACGTCCCCAGCTGAGGTCTGTTGCTTCCCTGGAACCCCATCCCAGACAGACAGGGTCTGCGCTGCCTGGGATTATATTGCTCTCACAGCGGAACTGCATTCCGACAAAGAATCCCCCTGCTGGTTTACAGGCTCTGGGGGAGAATGGATTCCAGTCATTTTTCCCTTAACCACACAGCAAGTGACTAATGCTCTCCTGTCGCTGGTCGCTGTCTGGGGAGCGTCCTGACAGTAAGAGCAGGCCTGAAGGATGGAGGTGCAGACCACCGGGGCTGGTGCATTTCTTTCATCTGTCAGACGTTTCCCTCTGTTCGGCCTCCCCTAAGCTCTGTTTCTGTCTCTGATTTTATCCATTCATTCAGCTCTCTCCTTCTTCTCATTGCAGAATGGTGTGGTCCACCGGGACTTGAAGCTGGAAAATATACTGCTGGATGATAACTGCAATATCAAGGTAATAGGTGGGGTCTGGGTGTTGCAGCATGGTGTGGTTCCCTGCTTCAGGCTTTGATCTGGGACTAAGGTAGCTACTTCCTTTGGTGGGAGGTCAGTGCAGGAAAGACTCCTTGAAGCTCTCAATTCATTTAAGTTTAATTCAGCAAGAATTAATGGCTCTCCAACATGTCAGGCATTGATCTTCCTGATGGGTTACAAAGAGATGACTGACATACAGTCCCTGTGCCTCATGTACAATCTGTAATTATCACCACAAAAGTAACTTGTGTACTTCATACGTGTAGCATATGTATTTCAATTCCCATTTGCCTGATAGTCCCTTAAATTCATTCTTCAGACAACAGAAGAGATAGGCACTGTTTATTTTACAGCTCACATATAGATAGGGAAACTGAGGCACGGACAAATCAAGGAGTTTTTCTGGAATAGCAGTGGTATGTAGACAAATTGCAGTTTGAACCTCAGGTGCTCAAGTGCCCATCGTATAAGGAGGGCCCCAAATTATTATAAACTTAGATTTAGCCTATTTGTTTGTTTTGAGGCAGGATCTCATGTAGTCCAGGCTAGCCTCATGCTTGCTATGTAGCTGAGGATAACCTCGAACTGCTGATCCTCCTCCCTCTGCCTCCTAAATAGGTATTGTAAGTACACAGCACCCCACCTGACTTAGAGCTCTTTCCCTGGCCACCTTTCTGTGACGTCCTATCCCACATCTCTTCTCCTTCCTCCCTACCTTCCCCCTGAACTAGTCATGGATCTGGTAGCTAGACCAAAATGATGGTGGTGTTTGCTGTTCAGAAAGGGTGGAATGGTGGTTAGAGACATGGCTCAGCACAGGCACCTGTAACTCCTGTTCCTGGAGATCTAACACCCTCTTCTGGCCTCCTTGGGCACCTGTGCTCTCACATACACAGATACAGACGTATACACATAATTAAAAATAAAATGAGTCTTTAAAAAAAAAAAGGAAAGAGTGAGTGATGGAGTTCACTTTTATGGGAAGTATTATTGCTGGCTGCTGCCAGACAGGCCGACAGGGTTCAGGGGCCTCCTGGGAAGCACTCTGAATGTCGTTTAGATCATGTCTGCAAAATAAGCAAATATGATTTCAAAATAAACAGAGCTCACGGCACGGGTTTCATAATGAAATGGCCTCAGTACTCCCAGCACTGTGGGAGCCCTCCAATTGGACACTTGTGACGTGAATGACTTATCCCTGATCTCCAGACAAGACGGGAGCAATCTCACACCTTCCTTTATTGTTGCTGTCAGTTGAAGGGTTCATGATGGGATCACTTCCTTCCATGGAAGGATGGAGCTGTTTCAGGGTTTGGGTTCTGTTCGTTGATCATTGGGGCAACTATTAGTCACCATCATCCTTTGAGAGGTCCTTAGAAGACACATCCCCATGACCTCTTATTTTCACATAGTGGTTGACCTTGGTCACATACTTCTGTGTAGTCCATACAGCAAGGAGGAAATGATTGGTCAAAGTAGTTCTCCCTAGGAACAGGAAGTGAAATCTCAAGGTCTCTCTCTTTCTGGCAAAGTGGCTGGATTATTTTAGAAGGCACCCTGACTATCAAGTTAGAAAATTCTGGACTGAGGTTTATAACTCAGTGATGGAGCACTTGCCTAACGTGTGAAACCCTGGGTTCAATCCCTAGTACCATGAAAGAAGAAACTTCTGGGCGGTAGAGCTTATTCATTAGCTGCTTGACACTGGGAAAGCCAAAGAGCTCTGTTTCTTCAGCTATAAACAGGGGTAATGGTAACAGCTACAGGCTTGCTCTGGAGTCCGAATGAGTGCTTCTCTATGTTCAGAGTTATAAACTGTTAGGAGCCCTGTGTACATCTGCTCCAGCTATGAGTAGTGGCTTTGGAGTCGGATAGCCTGAGCATTTTGTGTCACCTCTGCCACTTGCCCATCCAAACTTAGTTTCTCCTGTCAAGCAGGAATGCTCTGTTTCTGGGATTGATTTATTCATTTTCTTGGATGAGTATTTTCTGAGCAGTTTCTATGGGTAATCCCTACTCTTGGGGCATCAGTACCCAAATGTGAAAATTTTAGCTAATGAGCTAGTCAAAGCAGACAACGTTGAACTATGCCTATCCTGGGAGGCTGGCTCTGGAGAAGGAACTGAATGGGAAAGCCGGCTGCTGGGTAGGTGCTAGGTTCTTGGGAGTGGTGGTCACCCTAGCTGCAGGATTGTACCCTGGCCTTCTAAGGATTTTATATCATCCATTGACCTCGGTGGCTGTCTCTGTAGATTCTTCCTGCCACCTGTTGCCCAGAACTCACAGAACTGAATGTAGCCTGTACAGGGCCTGGAATGTGAGCCTCTTGCCTAGAGATTGGGTTCTGTGGTTCAGTGTGACCTCTTGGTCCTATGATGTAGTCCCATAGTGATAAGGCGCATAGCTTTCTGTAGAGTCATAGAATTCCCTAATAGAGAAGAAGAATGGTTAGAATTCTGAGAGCAATTGTATAGGGACAATGGGGCAGGAGCCTGGAAGAATGACTCATTTGCATGCACAATAGGGCAGCTCCTGGGGACCAGGTTTTCAATCTGGGATCCCATGCATTTTGTAGGCAAATAGCATACACATAGCACTTTACAAAAATTAAAATTTGATTCTATATTTCTCTTTGTCTTTTTCTTAGGACTCTCTGCCCCTGGCAGGGTAGAAACACAAACACACACACACACACACACACACATACACACACACGTCTAGTCTTCCCATTTTTTGTTATTATTTATTGTTTTCTCTATTGTTTCAAAGAATCTGACTAAAATCTGAAATTCTAGAGTTCAAAAGGACTTCTTGAAGGTTGTTTTCCAACCTAGAAAGTCTAAGTGATGTGTACAAGGTCTTGACTCAGTAGCTTGTTGTGTCTTTGTTTCTCCAGAGTGTCCTGTGGTGCCTGGCACACTTAGGCATTTAGAACTGTTTGATTTTGAAGCAAAGCAGTGAGAGCCAGGATTAGAACTCACATGTTTGACTCCCAGGAAAATTCGCTTTTCATCATCTCACACCCACTTCTAAGGTTTTTTAAAAAATGGATGTCAGCTGGTGTTGATTTGTCTTCCGGCTGTGTAGACTTTGCTCTTCCTGACTCAGCATTTTGTGGAAGCATATTTAGAAAGGACAGTTGCTGACAGAAACAAGCAGACACATGGCCACAAGCTGGCCTCTGTGTGCATAAGAGCCCAGACCATTGCTGCCTGGACCCACGGGACCATGAGTGCAGATGTGCTACCAGCCAAGTGGATGTGAACAGCAGGGTCCTCTTAGAGCTCCAGAGGCCTTTCCCATTGTGCGTCCATATGTCCATGTTTAAAGGGAAGAGGACAATGGCCTAGGAAGTCTCTGATGGGGCTTTAAACTTGTCACATTACTGCAATTTTGGTGTGAGCCATGTAGCCCATTCCTCTTCCCTTCCCTGCCTGATGTTGATTTGCAAAGAGCACATCTGGCACTGGAAATTATTTATCTGGCCATGGTGAGAGGGTGCGGTTTCTAAAAATATTCACACAGTCAGTCGGCCGAAGGAATGAGTGCGATGCGATGTGCCGCTTCGGGTTGCGTTCCATCCTGTGTGGAAGTATGTACTAAAATAGCACCCAATATAGCATTAATTTGCAATTAATAAAAACGGGCCAGATTCACATCCCACTCTCTGGGAGAATGGAATGCTGACAATTCCCATAGAAGGCTCCTGTAAAAAATGCCTCCCCAAGAGGAGAGGGCCAGGTGCCCAGGTCAGCTGACCCTCTCTAAGAGGGCTGGGAATCTGCTGAGTTCCCAGGGCTCAGGGTAGAGGGGCAGAGGGGAGATGGCCTGGTGTCCCTGGTGACAATGGCAGCAAGCCTGCTGTAGATAGAAAAAACAGCTTTGAATGGCCAGAGACAAGATGAAATAGAAATCTCTGCAGCTTAATAAGACTGAGGCTTGGGATCATGGGCCTCTGTACTTTGATTAGATGAGATGAGTGTGAGAACTTTGCCTTCGTGCGTTAATCAGCTCATCTGTTCATTTATCCATTGTGTGTGCATGTGTGTGTATGTGAGGGACATATGTATCTCTATATGCCTGCCTACATTCATTTGTCTATTCATCCAGCAACTGAATATCTACTACAGACAATATTTATTTAATCACAAAATATTACCAAGTATCAAATAGCATGTAATTATTCCTAGACTGGGTGTTGGGAATTTTATACTGAGTCAGATGGCCAGGTACCTCATCTTAGAACTCAGAATCTGACAATTGTTGAACTAACAGTGATAAAGAGCCTCCAAGAGGACTCAGAAGTTTAAAAAAAAAAAAAAAAAAGATAAGGTACTTTCCCTTGTGGACTTGGAATTCCAGCTAGGGCTGAAAGCACTAAACTAAGAAATACATGATAAAATTATGTGGTGAAGGAGATCTGGGCAGAGTGGGGATGGAGCATGGCAGTGCTGTTCCAGCTGGTGGCGCTGTTCCAGCTGATTGGTCAGGGAAGGCCTGTTTGCATTGTACTAGAGCTCCTCAAATCCACCGAGCTCTCACATAGGTTCCTTCTGTGTGAAACGCCCTTTCCACTCTTTGCCCCCATCCTTTGGGGCTCTTCTTCCAGGAAGTCTTCCTTGTCCCTTGGCAAGTCCAGTGCCCCCATGCCATGGGTTATAGATGTGCAGAACAGAAAGAAGTATGTCTATCCAGTCTGATGGACCAGAAAGCCCTTGTGGAGGAAGTAGTGACAGAATGGTTGAAGTCTGGGGAAGAGTTTGATGGAAAGGACGATGATAACCGTCTTTCTGGAGGAAGGACCACAAGTTCAGGAAAGGGCATGGAGGTTCCCCCATAGCTCATGATAAATGTGGCTGCTTCCAGACCTCTGCCTATTCCACTCAAATTCTTCCCTTTACTGCCACCCCCAGATTGTCCTCTTCCTGGGAGAGGTCACCTGAGGGTCCTTTGGTCCTCTCTCACTTTGAATGCAGTTGG